CAAAAAATGAGACGCCCGCTCGAAGAGTTGTGTTGATCTACAAAGACATTTAAAATTATGTTTACGAATTTCTTTAATAATTACTAACTTCGTGCTGTCTGTAGGTAGTTTACGTGAGTAGCGAAATATATTAGTTGATTTGTTTACAAATCAATTTAACTACGGTATGATGATAGCAGCCTTGATGTCTCCCCGCGACCACATAATATATTTCGCATTTTAGACCGTTAAAAGCGTTTTACTAAAAAAATCTTATTTAATTTCAATACAAGCTTCAGATTCTTATTATTATTATGATATTTCATGCGTGTAACTATCGACGTATTCAATAGACCTATAGTTAAAACAAGGTAAACTTTGTTTGTTTTTGATATTAGGCAATAGTTGTCTTAGAGGTGAGAAAAATTTATTATTTAGGTACGCACTATCTAAAAAAACTCTTACTGTTTGTGTATAAGGTAAAGATGGACAGCATGATTTGGGCACTAGAGCGTTATTACCCGTTGCGTGCGGAACCTTTAAAAAAAGGACCACAATTGTTTATTTGAAATTCCAACAAAATGACATTTAGGCGGTATGACAAAACCGATGCTCGACAGGACTGTTTGCAGAATACTAATATGGCTAAAGAAGAAATAAAGGATAACATTATTTTGTGTCGTATTTGTTATATGGACGTCGATAAATCATAGGGGAATGGCCACAATCGGCCCGGCAACATGCCTACAAAAAATAATACAAGCCATCATTCAGATCGCCGGAATATTGGGTGGGAGTTCGAAGCACGATTAGGGCTGACAAGACTACAATAGAATTAATACGTTAGTTCTTCTCGTCTGTTGAACCTATTTAATTTTAGTCTCTATTTTTAAAGGTCTAACTGGTGGTAGTTAGTGGATTTGATTATTAAGATACTGTTGATGATTTCAGTTCCTATTATGTGAACCTCACGCTTGTCTGTCCTTTTGTCATATAAACTTCATGTCAGGGATAAATTGAAGACTTATTTCTCTCGCATTTCTTCTTCAGCGTGGTACACTACAGCGAAAATTACATCTATACTAATATATAAAGCTGAAGAGTTTGTTTGTTTGAACGCTCTAATCTTAGGAACTGCGGGTTCGAATTGATAATGATTGTTGTGTCACTTAGAACATATATCGAAGGCTTTGAAACACGACGTTGCGACTAATAGACGCGAAAATAACAATGGGAAATGTGGAAGAACCGAGGAAAAATATTAATATAAAATAAAAGCTAATTCTGAACGCAACCCTAAAACGTCAAAATTTGTTACAAACAATAATATGATAACCATGTAGGTACCAGGAATAAATTTAAAATATGAATTAGCGATATTGTCGGATTGCTTTTTGTCAACCTTAGCGTTTCCACGACTCGATCGCGGACGCAGTATGTTTTTGAGATAAATGTTAATATGCATTTAGTCTCTAATTTATTTATCTATTGCATCGACATGACGAAGATTCGATCTCATCGTGGAAACAATATATTGCAGTTGATATATTTAATATAATGTCCATAAAAAATCCACTAGTGTTAGGTGGGCCCATTTATTTTATAAAGTAAAACACTTATTCCTAATCAGTTCTATACACCCTATCCCCCGCTATTACGAGAAAAAATTAAAATAGGCCGAGCCCCTCCCTTCCGTTAAATTCATATTACTATCATATATCAAAATCCTATCTACATAATATTTTCTATCCAGGGGCTGAAAACCAACTCAATTATAATTTTTACATTGCGCATTGGTGATCTTACCAACTAACAAGGTTCCCTCCTACCCCTCGTAAAAAATGAGACATTGCCGACCCCCCTAAATCGTCTTATAATAAATGTATGGCCCCAGGTCTTGAAGTGACCACGTGGTGCAACGATTTTATGCACACATTCCCTTGACCACACCGACTCATTGTTTCCTGGGGAGAAAAAAGGAAAAGTCCAACCGAGATGGAGATGTCCAATATTTTAGATGGCATAGCTTTCGCTACGTAATCGGAATTCCACTCCTGATGTCTACACGGCTAAATATAAAAATAAATTGTATACACACGAAATAAGGCTCCAATTACAATGATAACACACGTTATCTTTTAAACATCTCCGCGCGGTATGCAATAGATAATCGTGTTTTATGCTAATTCCCCAAACAAAAACATGCCACAGAAATTTTCGAAAAAAAAACGCGTATAAATTTCGAAGCAATCAACTCCGCGATTGTTTGACTCTCGCCCGTCATAGGTTATTAAGATGTCTTTGTTATAGCAACATGTTGGACTATTTACCCAACACGCTTCTCATGACTCTTTGTAGGAATAACACGGGTTTTTTTAACGTTCCCGATCGTATTGTAGGAAATCTCCGAGTCACTTAGTGTTGTGACGTTAGACATTGCTTTATTTCGTTTTGATATGTTTATTAAGCTGAGTGGTCCCGCGCAACAATACAAGTCGCGACAATGACTGGTGATTGGTGCCTGGTGTTAATTGAAACGGGAAGATGGGTGAATCATCGCGGAGAAATGTCGAAAGCTTTGTTGATTAGTGTTACGGACTGCCAAAACTTTGATACAGCGTCGATAAACATTTCAATGAAGAGTGGAGCCACTCCAGGCTGATTGATAATTATAGTTATTGGCTTCTTCTGTGACTTATTTATGGAACTTTAAGACCTGAACCTAACTTAGATGCTGTCATATTAATGTATCCGTTCTCCTTCTAGATTTAATTTGGACTATTCTTTGATCTATGCCAGGTACAGAAGATCTCTTCACGTTATCTGTAAGATTCTCCGTGTTATCTCAATTTTGGATTCTACAGAGAGGCAGTACTTCAAAACTACAATTTTCCAATTTCGTGGCAAATTGCTTCCTTTTATGTTTAAATTTCTTTTGTAGCATATAATTCCCTTCAGTCAGCTACAAAGTGACTTCCGAATCGTAATGATTCTATCTGTCAAACTTGGCGATGTCCTCTGTGTCAGACTTGCGCCGTAATTGCACCGGGAAACGAGCTACTAAATCTCTCGTTGCTTTCAAACAGCTCGAATGGATAATTGAGTATTTCTCACGAATTCCAATATAATTCTATCACCTTTCAACGCCGCTCCTGGCTCTATTTGTTTATTTATATTGTGCGCCTTTCATCTCAGATACGTGGGTAAATAATGAATGTAAGACATACTATAAGGTGAGAGAGTGACGTCACCGGACACGGACACATCAAAGGATGATATTGTTCGTGATTTATGTGTATTTGTTTAACTACGACCCAATTACGGAAAATTTGTGAAATCACAACGAAATTATTGCTAGTACTCGCCTTTGATGTTCTAATTGGATTCACCCAAGTTAGCGCCAATTTAGGTCTAGTTTTCGAGTGATTTAACGCTTTCTGAAACTCGCTACTGGCGACTGGAAACAGAAATCCTAATTAATTTCATACCAGAACTAAAAATACAGGCGTTATACCGTCTCCTTTCTTTGTATGCAATTGGATAGAGAGTGTCATATTTAAGTTGGATCATATGGAGACGTTAAGAAGGAAAGAAATTAAAGGCGACATCTTATTTTGTGTATTAAATTTTATTGCATCTATTCACACACCTTCTTGAAGAACGGTCACGAGTTTGAAGCTCACAAAATTATCCATTTATAAACAATATTGCTTAAATTAAATTGTGAACGTGTTCCTCTGATACGATGATGATTTACGAATTAAACATCGAGAACGTAAGACTGTCTAATATATTATTATTAGATACTAACACATAGGAATATTGATTTATCATATTATGTTTTGAGAATTTTTTTCACAAATAACTAATAGCTATAATATTTCCAAGAATACGCTTCGTTGCACGTATGTATGTTTACGATTATGTACATAGAAAACGTTCTGCTAATACAGAAATTATTGTGTTTATCACTCTTAAATATTTATATTACGATTACAAATATGTACGCTAATAACGAGACGTATTTATGTACAAAACTATAGACTCAATTTTGGACTTTCAGTCTACAATATTGGGGAAAATATTTTACACTATATAGAAACAAATGAATGTCTATCACTATACAATTACTTTTTTACATTATACAAGGCCATTGAAGACATTCATATTAAATATAGAGAATTCATTGAAACATGGAGTTACATTTGAGAAAGAACGTGTAATGAAAATAGACTGGGACGAATTAAAATACTCCGACGATCCGAATATTCCATTATATAACTCACATAGTTTAATATAGCGAACTTATTTTATAAATGCTCCGCTTGAACGTCAGAGGACTCAATTGACAACTGGATGCTACAAGCGATTCGAAATAGAACCCAGCCCTTACCGTAAATTCTTCGTCCAAATTGATTAATATAACCTTCAAATAAAGACAATCATAGTCGTCTGACTAGAAATTAATAAATCAGATTTAACAAAATCTGGCTGTAGATAGAACATTCGTACAAATAGCGTTACTGACCCCGTATCAATAAATAAGTATCATAGATCGTATGACCGAAATCTATTACACAATAGAGAAAATTGGACGTAATTAGGCACTAAATATAAAGAGAACATTTTTTCAAAATAATAATTTACAGTCTACATATTAAATAATAGTCTAAAATAGTCACGCCTATGTAAACGTAACACGTATTAATACCTATTTTTATTTAATCACTTCGTTTCAACCACCTCCAGTAATAACTACAGTAACATTTCGCAAGGTCCAATTTGAGTTAGCACCTAGTATTGTCGGTCGGTCGGCGCGTGCGCAGCGACGTCGTTTGCGAGTTGTCAACCTCACGGCTCGCCCGTGTCCGCTATCACAATTCTAAGCTTCTCTACCGGTGCATAAATTATCACGTATATATGTATGTATACATATTTATATTGTTATTTACAGGTCGCGTACTCAAGGGCCGAGATTGCGTTTATTGTCGGTGCGCCAAGTGTGGACGAGTGGCGAGCGGTCAGGCGCGGGACGGGGGAGGGGGCTCGGCAAGGGATGACGTGGAGGACGAGGAGGGGGAGGGGGCGGGAGGAGCGGGTGCTGGAGCTGCCAGGGCCAGCGAGCGAGAGTACTCGAGCAACGCGACGTCCGCTGGATGCGTCGGGGGGTACAATCCTCTGTACAACTCGGGACGATAGGGGTGAGCTAGTCTCGCAGCGGCAGCAGCGGCTGCTGTTTGATAAAAAGCAGATGCTGATGCGGGCGGTGCTGGTACCTCTCCGTCCTTACTTGCCATATCAGCAAGAGACCATATCCTCGGCTTGGCAGATGCCGGCGTACTCCCTGGCGGAGCTCTAGACGGTAGATGCTGGAACGCTGGGTGTATAGGCCGCTCGTACGGTTCAGGCGATTCTGGACCGCTATCAGCACGTGACTCAGACCACTCGGATTCCGTCCTTTGGCCTAGGAGGTCTAGCCTCTGCTGAGGCCTATCACCATCCTCGCTCGAACCGGTGCCCGAATCTTTTCCATCTGTAAAGAGGAAATCGTATTATTCTCTCGAATTGCAAAAAGCAAGTATGTGGAGAAATCCTTGTACAGTAAAACAATTGCTGAAACAAAAAACACTAAGCAAAAATTTCGCAAATGCCCTCACTTAATTTTAGGACGTTTGCATCAGCCAATTGCGTATAAAAAATACAATGAAATGTACATACCCAGTCCGTCTTTTCCGTCATTACTTTTGTGGTCATCATCGTCATTATTGTTATCGTCGTCGTCCACTCTGTTTCTTGGTTCCCATGTCATTTTGTTCTCTTTCTTGAGACGTCTGCGGGCATTTGCAAACCACGTGGACACTTGCGTGAGTGTCATCTTGGTGATGATTGCGAGCATTATTTTCTCTCCTTTTGTTGGGTACGGATTTTTCTTGTGTTCATTCAACCATGCTTTGAGCGTACTCGTCGTTTCTCGAGTCGCGTTTTTCCGCCTCGCTCCGTTGAGATCCATTCCGTATCTGCTGACAAAGAATTGTAGTTTTAAAAACATGAAGTTCTCTTATAAAAAACCCTCATAATACATCCATTAGAAAACAGCGTAATCATTTAATGTATGAAGATCGAATACATAAATGCTTGTTCGAATCCTAACGAACGCTGACAATCTGCCAAAACAAAAAGATCTCTATAACGAGACCGTAGAAACTGTAGCTTAAAATTTTCCCCTGAAGCAACGCGAAGTAATTCGCAAAGTTTTTAAAGGTGGATACAATCAAGCGTAAATGGCCGAGTCCGATTTGGAAGAGCAGATAAGTTGGTTCGTGACCGCCCCTACCATAGCCGCCTGCCTCCCGTGGCCGCCCCACCAGTGGAATGAAAGCGCTAGTATAATAATTGAAATCGAGATAAACCGCTGGCTACTGTGCCGGCGTTAGGCCGAAGCTTATCTTCCGGACCGTACGCATTCGCTTGCAGGCCACGCAGCGACGTGTATATCTTTATTATCCCTATCTGTATTCTATTAAGATTAATTAAATGCTCCACTAAGTAAACAATGTGATAACTGAAGTGAGAATAACAATGAATTAATTGCGTTCAATAAAGTACTCCTTCTCGATAAAACAAATGAATTCAGTTTAATGGGAATTTAAAACTCGTCGAAAGAATAACGACATAAAATGTATCCATATGCCGCCAATGCAGTCGGTAACTGAGAAGGGTGGAAAATAGGGATGAGTAGTATGGGAAATTAATAAAACTGTCACTTAAATCGCAGAAGTGACGGCCAGCGCCCCTGTCTCGGCGGGCGGCGATCGAATTCACACTTTAGCTGATAAGCCACAGGGATCCTTTTCACTTATCGCACCGCGCTAAATAAACACGGTCTCTATTGTAACTTCGTTGTTGACTTAATTCTTCTCGCCCCCAACAGAATGAGATTCTCGTAAATAAATATGAAATGGAATATTATTTTGTTTTGTTACCGTTTTCATTAACTCAACGGAGTAGCCTAATTTAATAACGTTTATTCAGCCATTCTCTGTAGCTGCATATTTAATACGGATAATTGTGGATATTGTAAAGAGCAAAAGTTGGTTATATTTAATGACGTCGCGCGGATGAATGAGCTAAACAACCATAGAATTGAAACGATGATACTGAAAGTGGAGCGACGAAGCTTAGGCGTATTTTGCAGACAAAAAAACGTTCATTTATTCACAACGTGCCACTTTCACAGCATCCGCGCTTGCGGGGATAGCAACGCCTCATTTTTTTATTATTTTTTCCACCGCCGCAGCGGGTGGTTCGCCCCTGCCTTCAATTAAATCCCTATCTCCAGCCACCTCGCGTTTCCTACTTAAACTCATAAAAATGAGATAAACACAAAATTATTGCTGCCACCTATCGCTGTTGTTATTAAATCGAACGCCCGCGCTTCATTTGAATGCCTCTTTTGATAATATCTATTTGGATTTTATCACATTCGTTTTATGAATGAGTCCCTATTCCTAATATTTGATTATTGTCTACGTCGGCCTTTTGTGAAGGCGGGTTCCGGGATCACTTTGGCCATTCGAAATTAGACGGTTTGATGTCGAATTTTGTTGACTGCGAAGAATTTTGTGTAGGTATCTAAGCTTTTTTGCATTGAATTCGATATCTCAAAGCCAAGTAGGTAATATATGTCGGCGACCGTATTCTTCTAATGCCTGTTGATACGTTGCTTATATCTTTTTAAGGATTTCATTCTGGTATTAGAATGAAAGCCAAAATATTTATCTGTGAAAGCTTCTAATTTTTTAGTATTTCTTCTGGAAAAATGTAGCAAAAACAGCGATTAACGATAAAAAATAAAATTTCACATGTGGGCTACATTATAATTCACATAGCCTGATGAACCGCGTATAACTTTGCTATAAAAACATGTACAACTTTTCATGTGAATAGACATGAAACAAAAACGATTACTTTGAGGTGCCGCCGTAGGTTGGTACATCTAGGATCAAGTTACCAATTCGAATTTACCAATGACATCGCCTTCAAACAAATGTGCATAATGCGAGGTACAGTTAGCAACGAATGTAGAATTCGGGCGGTTTTCAACCTTATTCCTTCGTGATAAGGTTGTACACGCGCCTATTTCTTCCACACCAACGAGTTTATCAGTCAAATGATACACCGCCTATGAAATTAAAGATGCCTTTTAACTCTCAGTGACAGTTTTGTGTTGAAAATTTATCGGGCATTGTGTTGGATATAGAATTACATGTCAACTAGATATCGACTTTTGAGGCTAATCAGAAAAAAATGCAACTTTGTTATCTAACATATCTATGTCATGGACTTTTTTATTGCAGTTACTGTTAGCAGAAACATACCTAACCTTTAAAGTTTTGTAAAAAATACATATACAATCGATGTTATTGCTCTCAAATTAAGAAAGTAATCGTGTTGTACTTTTTTAATGCCAGTTAAAATTTATAGTTATTACAAAGGATCCAAAACGTCGGGTCGTAGTCATAACAATTTGGAAATAAATTTACCTAATACATTTCGCCTTTTAAACCGCTAAAAGTATTTTTATTTAAATTAACCCCGTTTAACACGGATGCTGCAGCATTCACAATACGAAATAAATTATCTAATATATTTCCATTCCATTTTAAACCATTTTTCCTTTTTTTAAATTTTTGGAAAAAGCATAAAACAGTAATGGAACAGAAATCTACACTTATTTGTCTGCCTTTAAATAATCAGATCTCTGTACTTATTAATTCTCTTCGGGATTTGAAATCTGGACTTCTCTCGATGTGTGCAGTCCATTAAACAATTGAGAGACAAAATCACTTAATCATTGTTCTTTTTATCATTTAGGTATCATTGAAATAATTCTAACTACCAAATATTTTACCGTAACATTTAACTTTTTGGTGTAATTAAGTCTCACAAGGATAAATATGTCGAAAAAGCTAAAGAGAATAACGGAAAAATACCAATTTAAACTCTGTGTACCAAGTTCAAGCGAATTTTCGAGCACTTTCATTGCGTTACAACAATTTCAATACACAACGGCTGTACATTTGCCACTATAATCATTTGTCCGCGTTGGCCGGCATCCAAATTAACCCGCTAATAACAAAATACAAAACAAGAGAGCACTGCAACAACTCCAACAACCGCGGAACAAGCAATACAATGAGTAAATAACGCTAACATCGACTTTCATTGCGAATTATTGTTTTAAAACTGCGATTAAGCTGAGCGTACGTTTAAGCCCACGGCTGGGACACTACGCTCCATGATAAAATAGTCAGAGTAGCAGATGTTTGGTTTTAGGCTTTGGTTTCATTAGTTTTTTACGCCAAACTCCGAATGTGATACACACCTTCCACATAAGATTTTAAAAAGATATGCTGTCGACTTCTTTTGTCTTTGGACATTTGGAAATCTACAGACTGAAACCGAAACGTGAGTTTACACTTTTCATCTGTGGACGAATGATCTTAAAAAACCCGCTACCGCAATTCGTCGTGATGCTTTCTAGAAAGCGGGTGTCAGATTTTCCCAAATATATTTCTCAGACGACCGGTACTCGAAGTCCCGATCGGAACAAAGTAGATTAAACGACCCACCATTACGAATGAACAATATCAGAACAACGATAACGCTAATTACTCGCAGTCGCAATTTACGAATGGACTCACGCAACGACCCGCGCTGAGGTTACGAGGGTAGTTTTAAAAAAGGCAGTATACAGGTACTAAATATTGTCGGGTAGATACGCGGTACGGGGCGCGGCACGCCAAAAATACATTACGCTCGTAACGCGCTGTTATGGGTTACCGCACGCACTCGTGTCCACGTAACGGGATATCAGGGGACTAATTGGCTTCAGAGTCCAGGAACAGCATTTATATGCGATAGCTTGAATTTCGACGATTTCAAACGCAACATGATAATACTAATAAAGGAAAGGGCGTACGACTGGGCGGCGTTACCGGCGAAGCGTGAACGCACCACCGCTGTTTCAGCCATCTTTGTTTTTGTTTAGGGTGCTACCCCTTTGCGAAGACTTCAGGTGCGTTCTACGTTGTGAAATGATTCCGTTGACTAGCTTACGCCCTTTATATAATCGCAGTTATACTTTTGTATTACCTGTAGTTTCCGCGAGTACAGACGTCAATAACCACTTTTAAAGGTTTAAAACGCGAAATATATTAACCAACTTATTTTAACTACGACCCGACGTTTCTGTCGTGTATTGATACAGTCAAGCCGCACAGGAAGATTCTAAAACCCACTGAATGTACAATTCCGTTAAATTACGTTGCAGTTTTACTTTTTATAATAGAAGACAGAATAGAAGGTGAAATATCACAGTTCAATAAAATCTAATAAAGACGCGTTGTTTATTCAATCAATGAGTTCTTGTGGTACAGTACAGGTCTTTCTTTTAGGATGTTGAAACCTGTCAATTTTAAGTATGAATCACTACCATTGCTCCGATCTATCAAAAACATTGTTTTAATATATGTAAGAGAGCTGTAAAGTAAATTTTTACGATGACAACAATTTAACGATGTTTGAGAATCGTAAATTTTATAATTCAACAATAATATATAATAGGTACTTGTCTCAAGTTGCTGTTTGATGATAAATTCGTGTTCAATAAACGCATACAAGTTATCGAGAGAAACATATCAATATTCTCTTGTTGGTACCATCTCGATCGTTTTGGATGGGGCATAAATTATAAATGTTGGCCGTTATCTGTGGCAAATTATTTTTCTGTTTCACTTGAGTCTTGACCCCTTTGCGTGGCTGATAAGACGGCTATTGCACAGTCGACTTTTAATTAATTTTACAATAATAATACATCACTGCTTTATGCTGTAGGTCTGATATGATTATAACGGTTGGTTCACATTGTTGCAAACCTCTCACCTTGTTAGAAAGTTGTCTCACGGTCAGTTACATGTGTAATGAGCGCTATAACTTCTTTTTATTATTTTTCTAATGA